CCCGGTAAAAAAGGAACAGAAAAAGAAAAGAAAAGAAAAAAGAAACCGCACACCCCCCGAAAACCCCCCCAAAAAACAACAACAACAAACAAACAAAACCGCCTCCTTGTTTTTTCCCCGTTTCTATTTCTTATTGGTCAATTCCTGTGTCCTGGATAGGTATGTGATAACAGAAAACTGGCTGGCTGGAAGTGTCATCTCCGCCTCTGGGTCTTCTGAGGCTGACGTGCCATTAACTTCTGTTGTCAGCTTCTCTGGCGTTTTGTTCCAACAACTATGTTGTCCATTACCTTCTGTTGTCAGTTGCTCTGGCGAACTGTTCCCACAGGCAGAAGATATTCGGAGACGTCTCCGGCGAGCACCCAGGAACTATTCAAAGGCGCACTCCCGCACACAGATGCACTGCTTTGGGGGGTCAAACTGCGTTTGCTGCAGATCACACATTGCTGTCGCAAATCAATTATTTTCAAGAAAATGTCAAACCTGACTGCAAAATATGAAATTATGGGTTAAAACAGGCACAAAGCATTTTGATTAGTTTATCTCCGTCGGAGACGTCTCCGAATATATACTGCGGTTCCAACAACCGTGTTGTCCATCCATGACTAAATGTTGTCAGTCCAAAGTAGCCTCTGCTCTCCTTGACTTTCCTTTGGTTTTATGATGTCATTGTTAATTGCAATCCCTATCAATACGTTGTGTTTTACTATCGTATTCATACAACGTGAGGAACTCTATGCCACCACTTTCCAAAGAGGAAATTTACTCGTTAATCCGATCCTTAAGCTTTCAATAGCAGCTTGTCAAAACGATATTTTGAGACATACTGAAAGTTTCAAAGAGATCTTCATATTTGAAGTATTCTTAAATGTGAAGAATACAACCCCAGGGGTACAAAATACCCCAGGGCGTACGGATAGGGTTAAAAATAGAGTGGGGTAGAGGAATGGCTGGGGGATAACAGAAAGGTTTTCATCAACTTCTGTGGTCCAGACAGACGGATGTCCAACCAGACTTTAAATGGGACTTTAAACAGATGGAACTTGAGGTAGATCCTGAGCAGAAAAACAAGGGGGGAGGGGAGGCACCAAGTGTGAGTGTGATCAGTAGCCAGATTGATGACTTTTTATGTATTGTGTTCGTTGTCAGATTTCGAGTGTATAATATTATGTATTTGAAATAATTGTTGCTGTACGTTGAATGGGCCAGTACGCATGAAACGTTGATTTAAATCCAGTTGCGCTTTGAAGCTCCCGGAGCCACCAGGTAGTTGGTGCAATGGAAGTGTTCTTCTTTATTATCATTATCATTATAATTATCAATGTTATTTTTACTATTATTTAAAAAATTATTATTA